AAACAAGAATATAATCAATTAAAAAGTAAATATAATACATATAAATCCTTATTTACAGATGGGTCCAAGGATGGTGGCGCGGTGGCATGTGCCACTGTCATTAGATCCAGAACAATCTCTTCTCGTTTACCAGATAACAGCTCTATTTTTACAGCAGAAGCAAACGCCATATTAACAGCCTTAAAATATATTAAAAAACACCCTAAATATCAACAATATATCATCTTTTCTGACTCACTTTCTTGCCTTCAGGCTATTAAAAAATATTTCTTGTAAACATCCACTTTTATTAGAAATTATTGAATTGTATAATGAGCTTGCAACTGGCCAATGCGACATCGTCTTTTGTTGGTTACCCAGCCATGTTGGCATTTCTGGGAATACAATGGCCGATCTTGCTGCTAAGGCAGCACTCAACAAATCTGTGACACCACTTCTTATTCCTTACTCTGATTACAAAGCCAGCATTAGAGCATACATCCGCGATCTAATGCAGAAGAAGTGGGACACCCAAGTAGGTATTAATAAATTACATGCAATAAAACCCTACATTGGTTACACCTACTTGGGTTGTCAGTCCAGATTTGAAGAGGTCATTATGCGGCGATGTCGCATTGGCCATACTAGATATACCCATGAATATTTGCTTAAAGGCGAAGATCCTCCGTTTTGCATCCCTTGTGATGAAAGAATCACAGTCAAGCATGTCTTGCTTGACTGCATTGAATATTCCATCACAAGGGATGTCTATTTCAAATCCAAAACTCTGAAGGATCTTTTTAATAATGTCAGTTCTCATTTAATTATTGCATTTTTAAAAAAATTAGATTTGTTGACTGATTTGTAAATATATATATATTTTAGTATTGGTAGTTTAAATTAGTAACTGATATTGTTAGTGGCTGTACCCTCAAAGGGGGTTGAAGTAGCGTAAAATTATTGTCCTCCTGAGAGGGTACGTAAGTCCCAAAACATTTAGTCAATTTAAGTGTACCAGGTTTTTAACAGTAGAATATGTGTACTTTAATTTATGGCTAGGTTTCTCTTCTGTCGCCAATGGCTGAAGGGATGGTGTAAATCCAGCTAGGGTCCATGCAGGAAGCAAATGTACTGTAAGTCCCCATGGTCCCTAGTATGGTGATCTACCTTCAGTTGTTGGCGATCAATAGCCTGTTTTTTTATATTGTATCGTCTTGTATAGTTCAAATGTTTTAGATTATTGTTACTAGTTTTATATCTATATCTGTGATAATCTAGTTATTTTACTGTCCTTCGTCGGCAGAATTTTATAATTTCACTTAAATTGTCGATATATTTATAACTTGCTTTAGTCACGATATGGCTGAAATATTGCCGATGTGACTTAAAATCTTAACTCACTCACTCACTCATTACAGTTACAAGCACTGTTCTCAAACATTCAAACCATGTACTGGTATTATCAATTACTATGAATCAAATATCTGTTTGGGCAAATTTGAAATTCATTATTGAATGTCATCATCAAAACTGATACAGCAAAATATGTTTGTGCAAAGTTCACCATGAAGCCCTACAAAACAACAATCTTTATAAGTTATTAATTTCCCATATTGATGTATTGACAGAAATAAACATATCTTATATTGAACATATTAGAGGTAATTCCAAAACATGGTTTTAAACAATATTCAAAATTTAAGAAATAGAGATTGTTCCAAATACTCAATGCCATTTAGAAATTGGTGAACATATAATGTGTTATATTTGGGATTACACTTTCTCTCTAAAGTACAGATTATAGTAATTGTGTTTTTGGTTGAGTCCCATCCAGAGATTAGAGGCCTTAATCGGAGGGTGTAGGTTCGAATCCTGGATGATACCAACAATAGTACTAGAATCTATACTCAACTGAGAAAGTGGAATCCCAAACATAACATGTGTTGCATAGAGATTTTTACAATTATTTTTAACCATATGAATAACAAATGGTCATAACTGTTGTAAAGTACCAATTGTAATTAAAAATTAATAATCCTCCAAATAAGGCAGCTGGAACCATCATTTACTGAATATTTTAAATGTCATGCCAACAGACATACTTGATCCCCACTTCTAAGTCTGTTTTTTTTCACAGAATGGATAATCAAAATAGCTCTGGGCAACATGGTCTCTGAGACTGAAACCATCATTTCCCTGAAGCTGCTGCTGCTGCTGATCTGGACCCTGTACTGTCAATTCATCTACATCATTGATTAGAATATCTTGTTTCAAAATTCCTATATTATGTAATATTACACATGAGATAACATATGTACAGGCTCTGGTTGGATTGGTTCTCAATCCAGTAGACAGACAAGGAAAGCGTCTTTTTTAAAATGCCAAAGGTCTGTTCAATGAGTACACGTGTCTTGCAGAGAGAATAATTATACCTCTCTTTGTGCCTCAGATTGCCAGTATTGTGGTAGGGAGTCATCAGGTAGAGTCCCCAAGCAGGAATCCACCATGAAGACTTGAAATACATATTCATATTCATTAGTCTTTAACATGTTGCATATTTATGACCTGATTCAACACTAAATACAGATGCTAATACTTATTAAACAAAATTAGTATTTCAGCTATGTCAAGGAAATATTTTGACAATGCTGATATTGTAAAGTAATTGATAACAAATTCAACATGGGTTACACAACATATTGTAATGTTTCCTACAGGCTTCATGTTATATTTACTAGTTCACGAAATGGGATATGTGACACAAATGATAGAGTGAAAGACGCTCTTACCCTATGTATGCAGTTGAAAACATCAAGGGGTTGCACTTATGAATTAAATACCTGTCTGTATCAATGATGTGTATATATAAACCAAAATAGTTTTCTACAATGTTCAGTATCTTTATCACTCTACATTGACCTACATGTGACATTTCAGTTTTTTGCACTATGTATTATCATCATATTTTCTGATATAAACAATAAATAAAGTTACTGACATATTGTATTTGGACCATCAGTTTAGCTGAAGTGAAATCAGTATATTTTAACAGAGGACGTCTGATGATCCTCCTTGCCCTCAAACCAGCATGTCTCAAACGATTCCTCACAGTTCCCAGAGAGATTCGTCGACCTGGTAACCACAGACGTAGCAGTTCGTTGCTTGACGCAAACGGCTGTCGGCGCACATGTCGTAATAGGGATCTGTCTTCACGCTGTGAGGTCACTGGTGGTCTTCCAGACCTTGGCCGATCTTGAACTTCGTTTGTCTGCCTGTACTTTCTGACCAGCCTACTGATGACAGTGTAGTGGATGTTCAGCTGACGCTTTAAAATACATTCCACTTGAATGCATTCCGATAATTTGCCATCTTTGAGCTTCATTTATCTTCCCTCGAGCCATGATGACCAAATGTGACAATATTGATACCAGTGGTCGCGTTGGGCGATCTGGCTAAAGCGCCAGGCTAGTGATCGAGCAAGGTTGAGGTGCCGGGATCGAGCCCACCTGGGACAGGGTGTAAAAACCTTGGAGTCAACTTTGTGTGCAGACTCTTTCAGTGTTGTCACAGCCCCTAGTGTACAGTACACAAACCTGTGCACTTAAAACAACCCACGAATCCGTTGGTATATGACCAGATGGTGGCCACATGAATACGTGCAAACACCTAGTTGCGGGTACAGAAACGTACAGTAAGCTTGGACAAAGTACTGTGACTATGTGTCCCAGTCCACCCAAGTGTGAATGGGTACCTCGTTAGGATGAGAAAGCCACAATAACTCGGTGTGCCTAGTGGCAGCAAGAGTTGTATACTCCCCAGGGAGTTGAGATTGATAATACGATGTGCCGTTGAGATTGACATCCAATGATCGAGGGAAAAATACCAGCGCCTTGAGCATGCACTAGGGATATGTGCGCTATATAAAACATACTGTAATAAAACATTAAAAACTACAGATATTGTGGGGCGAGGGCAAACTGCACTTTGTGGAAAGCGTGCGCTGTTGCGTTCACGTGCTGAAATGGTTGCGTTTTCGTGATTGACACGTAAACACTACTAAAACAGGTTCATCATCATCTATTCAAGCAGATATATTCTTAACAAACCATTTCATCACAGGATTGACGTGATGTCACTACTTCAATATGGGGGTGCTTAACTTTTTGTTTTATGTATATATTTGATGCAAAGGCGCGATATTCGATTAGGTAACATTATCAACTTTAGCTTATGAAAAATAACTAGTTACAATTCAGTAAGCTTCAAATTAGTAAGTTAAATTATGTCTTATCTATTCGAGCTTGGATGTATAATTATTTGTGTTTATACATTATATGAAATATGACAACGTAATAATACCTAAAATATAAATTCAAACTATTCTATTGTGTTTGAATTCTTTGTATGTCCTTGAAATTTCGTATATTGTTTCCTATTTATAAGGAAGTTGAAGAAAATATAATCTTCAGTAACCTCTAAACATCAATCAATGTGCATACGAAATATTTTAGTATGAAGAATACCAGACACTTAACTCTGTAAAAACATCATAATCCCCTTTCTCGCTGACATGTGTTCATTTGCCAAACGCTGTAAAAGCCTATGATAATGATTAGCAATTGCTATCAAAACACGTTAAATACTTCTTCTAATTGACACTAAAGGTAGCATCTCTCGCAAGAAAAGCAATATTTGCTCAGTACTACTAAATTGGTTGAAATAATAGGTACAGTGCGATTTTTAAAAGTACAACACACATGTACGTCTCTCGCTGAATAAGAGGTGCTTTCTGTTGACGAATATATGTGGCTCTCGCTGCGAGACACTGCCAATTACCTGCCCCATAAACACGTCACTCGCTGTGAGGAGCTGATTAATTTGCCCCATATAGACCTTTCCACGGAGCAGTGCTTCGTGCCACTCTCAGTTATCCCCCTTTGTGGTGGCGCTAGTGTCGTCCGCCATTAAGCGGCTGCAAATTGACTTGACGTTTTACGTCTGGCAACTTGCTTGTCTTTTTCGAAAATATGTCTCGGGACAGAGGTAGGCCTTATGAACGTGGATCAGGGAGAATTTGTGCTATGAAAGACTGTACAAATAGCCAGAGAAATCTACGTATATGGAAGGAATTGCCCTGTACAGTCCATAAACTGCCACGGAAGGACTGCCCTTGTTTGTTTCCCTATCATCTCCATAGGTTTCCTGTGAATGAAGATCGTCGTCGTGTTTGGGTGTCACGTGTTAATCGGAAGGATTTTCACCCATCTGATAGCAGTGTGGTATGTATTTATCAAGATAATTAGTGGCACAATAGTTTATCCCATCTGATAACTAGAGATAATGAAACGTTAGATATTTTGTTATTCATGTAGGGCCTACAGTGCTGGACCCCGTTTCTCAAAGCTCTCGTAAGCTAAAGATCTCGTAGCATTCGTACCTCCTATGTTACAGTATAGGAGGTACGAATGCACTAACAAATAAAGTTATGCAACAAAGGTTGAACGACAATTTTTACTAGTAAAATATTCCAACATTTTAAAACCTTATGTGCTACAAATCATTATTCTAGAGACATTTGTATTGTAGAAACTTACTGATATCTTGCAATATGCCCAAAAATATTGAGAGGAAACAGTCTATTTATCATTATTTACTCAATATATCTTTCCTTAAGATTAGTTAATAATAACATTACTGGATTAATTTATTATGTAATTTATTATTGCTTAATTACTTTACCCTCCGTGTATCGTTAGTGTACACATAGTACAGGGATGTAAAGAATTTTTTTATTTAACGGCTCTAGTGTTTAACAGGAGTGAAAAAATTTGTTGAAAATGTGATAACCCATTGTAGTTACTGGAGTGACATTGGCTAAATAGAAATGTACTTATTTTATTTTTATAACTCTTTTTCAGATATGCTCAATTCATTTTTTGGATGGCCATCCAAGCAAACAAAATCCTGATCCAGTCTTAAATTTGGGATATCAAAGAAAGGTTAGTGTACTTTTAGTTTAATGTAATGTACAATATAGTCCTACTAGTGATGTATTAAACGTAAAGTTATTTTGACAATTATGTTATAAACTATTTATTACTGTTCATTGATGTAAACGTATAATAGCCTGTTATACTTTAACTTTCCACTCTCCAGGTGACACAAGGAAGTTGGACCATTTTCCGACACCCTCTCTCTGATGTTTGTCGGACCCCAAGGAGCAGTCAACTGACTGAGGAGTGCCATGCTGAAGCTGAACTGACAGATCAACCTGTATCTCAAGCTGAAGAGAAGGAAAAGGAGAATGATGACTCCAGACCAAGTGATTGTGACTGTTGTAAACAGAAGTCTTGTTTTTGTCTTCACAGACCTATGATAAAAGTTCCAAACAGAACTGTAGGAGTACAGGTTCATTTTAACAAGTCAGTAGATCACCATTATGCAACCCAGCACTACACGACCAAAACAAAGAATGTCTCTGTTCAGGTTAATTTTCCTGCCTTTTCTGCAGACAGTATTAAGACTAACACTGATTCTGTGTTTTACACTGGACTTACTCTCTACAGGTGTTTCTGTCAATAATAACTTATCTTACATCTGTACTGCGGTCAAACATTAAGATGCCACTCTCAGATCAAACACTACTCACACTTATGAGACTTAGGCTTGGAATTCAGTTTCATGATCTCGGGAGAAGATTTTCAATTTCCACGCAATTAGCAAGTAAAATTTTTGGAATTTGTATCTCAATTTTAGCCAGAAAGCTAAAGGATTGCATTGTTTGGCTCCCAAGAGATGTTATTAGATCTGCAATGCCAATGTCCTTTAAGACTACCTATCCACACACTACCTGCATTATTGACTGTACAGAAATGTTCTTGCAACGTCCATTTTCATTGAAGGTTAGAGCTCAAACCTACAGTACATATAAAAGTCACAATACTGCCAAAATTCTTGTTGCGATTGCTCCCAATGGGTATATTATGTATGTTTCAAGATGCTATGGGGGTCGTGCAAGTGATGTGTATATCACCAAGAACTCGGGTTTTCTAAACTACTTGTTACCTGGTGATGAGGTAATGGCAGATAGAGGCTTTACAATAAGCAATGAACTTTATGCTAGAAGAGTGAAACTGAACATTCCTGCTTTTATGAAGGGTCGTAAACAACTGAGTGCTACAGAGTGTATAGAAACACGAAGAATTGCATCTGTAAGAATACATGTAGAAAGAGCAATTGCCAGGTTGAAGTCTTACAGAATATTGAATCAGGTTCTACCTCTTAATTCTGTTCAAAAGTTGGATAAGATAGTCAAAGTGTGTGCAGTCCTGTGTAACCTCAGACCAGAACTCATCAAGGACAAAGACTGAGTAGTCATGTATGTTTCAGACATCTAGTAGGCTGCTTAAGCTTATGAGATGTATGTGATTTTTGCAATGTGATATTTCACCAACAAGAATGATAAATTATAAATACATATTCTCATTGAATTGATGTTTAAATCATTAAACTGAATGTTCACCTCACCTTGATTTTTGTTATCATTGCTGTTTTATGTTTAAATACCAACCTATAGATATTCAATGAAATCAAACTTGTAAATCACCTTAACCCTTAGACTGCCATATGCATGGCACCATATATACAGTGATAGAAACTACCAGTGGCAGATGGCAACCACTTTTGTCTTTGGGCCACTGATATTTTGGAGAAAACAATAGCAGTTAGTGATCACCAAAAGTGTTGGTTTTTTTTACAGTTACATCACCACTTGGGCCACTAGGAATATCTCACAAGTTTCTGTAACTGTATATATGGTCCCATGATATGTGTGACAACAATATTCCTGCTTCAGGGGGTTAAACATTTCATCTTAAGTGTGAGTAATTACATGACATATAAATACTGATCATGTTCATTAAAAACAAAAACACATATTCATTTCATACTGGTACATTGTATTTTATTATTCAACCTAAATATGTTAAACATTTATTTTAAGTTACTAGCGTGTGAAATAGAATTTGACTAGAACTGTAGTTTTCTTCATAAAATATCAGCAATTCATAATACACAACTTTGATTTTATTACTATTCATTTGAGTGTCAGTGAGTTAAGGAAATGTACACATTTACAGGTTATATACAAATTCTTTTCAAACATCAACAGTAAGTCAATAACATAGTAGATACATCACATCAATTAGATAGATAGCAATTTATTGACTCAGCTCTAACAAAACAACAAACTTCGCATAGCTGTGTAAGTTATGTGTTGATGCTGTTACAGTGTTATTTACACTACTCATGCTACGGTGACACACAGAACTGTTTGTATTCCTCACTCAACACGAACCGACCTGCCTTGAAGTCATCAACCAACCGGACCAGCATATGTTTAAAATAAAACGCTCTTAATCTAGACAGTGTATTGTCAACAAAGCTGGAATCATATGCAACATCAAGCAGGACTCTGTCATGTTCTTCTGGTCTCCACATAAGAAATGTGCACTGATGTTTTCCTGTACAGAACATACACATTTGCACCTGAGTGAAATATCCATTTCTCCCTTTTGAGTAAAGAACTAATTCACTCTCAATGTTTCGAACATCACCTTTTCCTGAGTCAATCATTGCATGCACAGATGTTGTAGGACATTTTATTTCTAATATTGCAGAATCTTCAATGATTCCATCAGGACTAGCAGACAGAAATGGTTCATGTGATGATATAACAGTTCCTGTACACATTACTTTCTTCCCAGAAATATCCTGATAATGTGCCCTTGCTATGGGTTCATGGGTCACTCCATAAGCAGTGTTGTCATTACCCTTAAATCTCTCATACAGGTGATTGTTCAGGAATTTCTCAGGGTCGCCTCTACTTGTTTTAGGTACACTGTTGGCCTTTGATGCTGGTATTCTTACTCGCCTGCTGTCTTTCCATAGCGGACTTGATGATGCACCCTGGTTTAATGTTAAATTACTTAATTCTTCTCTTTTGTACTCTGGAAGATTAACATACTTGTCATAAAATTCCTGGCAAACAGAACATTCCAATTTTGTGACAGTCTTGTTATAATCAATATCATGAGATCCATGTCTGGATTGATCATTTGACGTTTCCTTGCAGATAGGATTTACATTTTCAGTGGCTGAAAATGTTTTGTGGAGAAGTGTACCCTTCAGTTTCCAAAGAGAACAAAGTGGAGAATTATTTACATGCTCAGTAAAGTCTTCTGTGGTAACAAACTGCTTAAATCTGTAGGGCTTGTTTTTCGATGATGTAGACGTTTCTGCAGCTTGACTGGCATCATCAGATCTTTTTGGATGCTTGAAATTCATGGCCTTTAATTCACTGAGTAATTTATTGCTGTCAGTCCCTCGTCCCCATGTACAAGGTAAATCAGTACAAGATTTACCAGCATATCCATGTAACAAGGCTAGATGTACAGCATACATAATGGCTGCAACATGACTACATGACCTTCCATGACAAGCTGGGCAAGTGCAACATGCAGTTAATACAGTACCATCTTTCCTTGCAGCAATCCATGCATTGTAAGGAACTGTAGAGGCTCCTGGCCGGAATGGGTGACACACAGGCTTTAAGATAATGAACTTCATTTTCCACAATGCTTTGAATATCACCTAACCATCCATTCTGCACATAATTATATGCATATGTTGCTCGAAAAGCTTTCATTTCCTTGGAATCAAATGAGTGGGACTTAATGAGGTAGTCAATAATATCTTCATATCCTATCTGAGGCCAGTTTCCAGTATTATTGGTAACCCACTTGGCCCTGCCTTCAGGTAGTGACTCTGTAACAGAAAGTACAATAATAACCATACCCACTCATCACATTTGACCTAGCCTCATTACAGATTGAGATAACTATCTGACCTAATTATATTTAACCAGCTGTTACTTCTAGTTACAAGAGAACGTCTTAATTTGTGTGAGATAAATAAGAAATATACTAGTACTTTTTAATAAAACAAATATGTAGATAAAAAAGTAGAAGGTATTTTTCACAAATTATTTGGTCAAGGTATAGTCAAAACGTAGTCATTTGTGAGCATTTAGTAAGAGATTACCGTGTGTAAATCTTGAAATTTATATAGCTAAATAATAAATTTTGACAATGGTTCTTGACATATCAAATCAAAATATAAACAAGACAACATTAGGGGAATATGTTTGGAAATATTTAAATGCCCTATACATATTTGAAAATACAGGCAAGTTCAAATTCAGAACACAAGCCTTATAAGATACAGGCGGCCTATAGTTTACATACAGTTTCACGTTAAATTCAACTTCGTTTAAAGGCCTTCAGTTTTCGTGCACAATACAATAGCCGAGTTACAACAAAATGCACATGATATTGACATTACTTGGTCATTTCTTTAAACTTTAGTACTTTAAATATATCTTACCTGCAATGTTTGTTTTAGACATGACATCAGAAATCCCTAAAACGAGATGTAATTGGACCTGTAAGTAGACGTTGTTTTTCGCGGCGTAAGCGTTGACTGGGCACCGTCTAGACTTGTTTGCAACGTCATAGATTGCAGCGGCGTTACAAATGGCACAGACCAGTTCATCGTTGCAGCCGCTTAATGGCTGCCACAAAAATGGCGGCGCCCATGAAATAAGCCATGGAAAGGTCTATATGCAGCTCTCGGCCTTACTGAGTTAATCCAGAAATATAGTAGATAGATTATGTGAATCAAAACTATACTTTTAATCTAACATTATATATAATAGTAGATAGATTACATGAATCAAAACTATACTTTTTGAATAACTTTGGAGTAAAACATCATACACACATGTAACATATTATATGTGAGTATCTTCACACCAAATCGGCTATGAAATACCTCTGCAATAAGACATTTATAAAGTTTCTTCAAAATAATCTCAATAAAATGAAATGTTGAAATAAATGAACAGGAACATCTTTCACATATGAATAAATGACAAGGAGATGAAAATAAACTTTTAGTTTGTTCTCTTTGATATTAAAATGGAAATGCAATCATACATGTATATCTTCAATTGTCACTTTAGATTTCACTTTGTCACAGTGGCTGAAGAAAGCAGGTTTTAGGTGTTCAGACATCAGTCTCCCCTTTCGTCTGTTTTTGCAAAGCCAACGGA